ATTGTAGCAAGGCTGCGTTGACTAGTGGGAGAGAAGACACTGAGGAAAATGCCCAAGTAATATCAAGACAAAGGTGTGGAGCCCGCTGTCCGTCACTTATGTTGCAGTGCTCCAGGTCTGCAGCCCAATCTGGACAGTGAGTGTACAGCTATGACAAAGACAAGCATGTGTCCGTTGTGACTCGGAGTACATGTACTCACACACACACTATGTCATCACAATGGAACAACAGCACTGCAGACCTTGGGCCTCCTCCACACTGCATTGAGTCTACTCCTCCACACTGCATTGAGTCTACTCCCCTTGGGCCTCCTCCACACTGCATTGAGTCTACTCCCCTTGGGCCTCCTCCACACTGCATTGAGTCTACTCCTCCACACTGTATTGAGTCTACTCCCCTTGGGCCTCCTCCACACTGCATTGAGTCTACTCCACACTGCATTGAGTCTACTCCACACTGCATCGAGTCTACTCCCCACACCCCACCTTGGGCCTCCTCCACACTGCATCGAGTCTAGTCCCCACACCCCACCTTGGGCCTCCTCCACACTGCATTGAGTCTACTCCCCACACCCCACCTTGGGCCTCCTCCACACTGCATTGAGTCTACTCCCCACACCCCATACGTGTGGCAACACTGCCACGATCTGGCCAGTTTCCAGTGTAATACGGACCTGGCAGTGGGCTATAGCAAGAAACTGTACGGCTCACCTCTGCAAGTGCTGCATCAGCGTGTAGAGTGTGATGCGGTTGTGATCGGGAAGATCCTGTACAAGCTCCATCAGCTGGTTGGCATCTCCTACAGTGAGCAAAACACAAGACAGTCACTGACACTGACACTGACACTGGCATAGGACACATCATCACTGTTGTTCACCTGCTCTGACTGACTGAAAGGAATGTACACTGTATGGCCGGGTCTGCCATGCTCAACCAACCAGAGGTCTCGGCATCTTCGAATGGAATGGCAGACGCATACTCTGCCAGCGTCCTTACCTCGAGCCTCCAAGAATGAATTGTAGCTTTCGGACACAATGAGCGGCCTCGGCAGCGAGCCGAAGAAGACGGGGATGTTGCCCGCCCAACAGTTGATATCCGCCCATCGCTTGTCGTTGATATCGACTTTATCTGGATCTGCATGCAACGAAAGCCAAAAAGCAGTGCATCCAAAGAGATACCGTAGGCACATGCACGTCAGAGACCAAGATTGACCACCAAACACCATGACCGCTTGGTAAGGAGAGGACATGGCTACAGCCATGCCGTTGCAGTGAGGTGCTAAGAGCAGTCAATGGTGGCAGGCTGGTAGCATTGAGGTGCTAAGAGCAGTCAATGGTGGCAGGCTGGTAGCATTGAGGTGCTAAGAGCAGTCAATACTGCCAGGCTGGTAGCATTGAGGTCCTAAGAGCAGTCAATACTGAGTGCCAGGCTGGTAGCATTGAGATGCTAAGAGCAGTCAATGGTGGCAGGCTGGTAGCATTGAGGTGCTAAGAGCAGTCAATGGTGCCAGGCTGGTAGCATTGAGGTGCTAAGAGCAGTCAATGGTGGCAGGCTGGTAGCATTGAGGTGCTAAGAGCAGTCAATGGTGCCAGGCTGGTAGCATTGAGGTGCTAAGAGCAGTCAATACTGAGTGGCAGGCTGGTAGCATTGAGGTGCTAAGAGCAGTCAATACTGCCAGGCTGGTAGCATTGAGGTCCTAAGAGCAGTCAATACTGAGTGGCAGGCTGGTAGCATTGAGGTGCTAAGAGCAGGCAATACTGAGTGCCAGGCTGGTAGCATTGAGGTGCTAAGAGCAGTCAATACTGCCAGGCTGGTAGCATTGAGGTCCTAAGAGCAGTCAATACTGAGTGGCAGGCTGGTAGCATTGAGGTCCTAAGAGCAGTCAATACTGAGTGGCAGGCTGGTAGCATTGAAGACCAATACAGTACATGTACACAGAGTTTTCGTATTTTCCAAAAAGTTTCGGTCCTTTCACAAGTGCATTTTCGTTCGATGATAAGACCATGGTCTTATATGCGAGAGACAAACATCGCATCGACATGTACATGTGCAAGTACGCATATTATTGGTTAATGCAAGTACAATGTAACCATGATGAACCTCGTGTGGTTTTCTGATTTTCATTCACATATAAGTGCATGTTCTTATATTCGAAAATAAGAACATGTCCTTAACCCTTTACCGTTTGTACGTACAAATTTCGACCGCTCGCGGTCGATGACTTCTATGCGCACAGCGCTGGACTGGTTCACCGCAGAGAGCTGGGATTTTCCCTACTGGTAGCCAAGATGTACGCGCAGAGGATGCCGACAATTTTTTTGCGTGATGCAATACAAAAAATGGCGAAAATCGCGACTCGAAAAATGCGCTTTGGGAAAAGTGAGTACCCTGCGACTTTTGGTATTGCCTGCAGATTATTTCGACTTTTGCTTGAGCTGGCCTCACGACTGTCTGCCCTGCTGTGCAAGCCATGGACGCGGAGCAAGCTCTTTCGCTTCTGGAGACCCTTCCTGACGACTCTGTCGCTGCCTCATCCAGCGAAGATGAGTTTGTGGAGCCAGACAATCCTGTTGTCTTACGACGACCGCGATGATGACATGGCGAGTGAAAGCAGCGCCAGTGAGAGTGACATGGATGTCACAGACGACGACAGTGTCGCTGAGATGAGTGCCACTAATGGTGGAAGGGGACGTGGCAGAGAGAGAGAGGATTCGGCCGTGGGATAGGCCGTCGTCACGGTAGAGGTCGTGGTGCACGGTACTATGTACAGCCAGCGGTGCAACCTGCACTAGTCGATATTTGCAATACTTGGGACAATGCTGACACCGCTGTGACTGGTAACACTCCTGCATTCCACCCAGAGAACGAACCTGGTATCCACTTACCTGAGGCAGCTACTCCAGTGCAAGGATCTGATTTATTGCATATTGCAACAGTTTGCCCGATCGGCAATAAATCCAAATAATTATTAGTGCTAAATTGTGAAATCTGTGTTCGTTTTCTGGACTTGAAAGTTGTTGCATCGCATTTCTGAGGGTTTTTACTTTCAGAATCACCCCATTTTGTACTTAACAAAAGTGAAAAATAAAAAAGTTACGGCATGAACAATGACGGTCGGTTTTTGCTGTACAAATACCTAAAACGGTAAAGGGTTAAATGCACGTGATTGCGGTACTTATATGGAAAAGTGCCCGGTCCCCGGACCGCCCGGATAAGAGAGATACGAGTGTAGTAAGAAGCATCTGCTGTTAAAGATGTGCACTGTGGAGACTGCGGAGCACGTTCTATGTTCTCGAG